TATGGATTGTACGTGTGAGTCTCGATCTTGACGATGCGATCGTCAAAGATCGGCTCACCGCCAATGTTCAAAATGTCGACCATCTTCACGTATTTTTTCGCACGATGAATCCCAAAGATCTTAAAAATGCAATGTTGGCTGCGCTAAGTTTCTTATTTTTCTTGTTTATAATCGTTTTCTTGGTGGGAAAAATGTCGCTCACGTATTTAGTCTGCTCGCTTCGTTCAATACGAGCTTCGTTCAATACGAGCATCTCAGGTGTCCTATTGCCGCCGCCGCCGCACATGCAACCTGACGATTATCTCTTCTCCGCAGAAATCAAGCAATCGACCGTCTTGGTCCACAACACGTATCGTCAAATCCGATACGCTCCGTGCAAAGATCGGAAGATAAATGATCTGTGCTGGCGTTTCCGATATTTTATATCCTGGTGGTACATTAAGCGAAAACTCGTGTATGGTGTGCACACATTTGTCGTTGCTGTACGCACCGGTGGTTACATTACATTCTATACGAATAATATTCACATCCGTAATATTGATTGTCACGTTCGATTCGTGCCATTGTGCCGGCTGTAGAATGCGATCTGAAGAAAATCCCAGAAGCGATGCAATGGTATTTAATTTGTTAAAGTTGATCCAGTGAACACACTTGATCTCACACTTCATTGTATTCTCATTGACGCGAATAACTATGAGATCATCATCATCATCATCATCATCATCATCATTGGTAGTGATCGGTTTGATGGTTTCCAACATCGCACGTTTCAGGTACCGGTATATGGCATACAATTCGTACGATCCCTCAGGAATTATAATTTCCTTGTCGTTCTCATCAAAGTAAAATTTATTATTCGACGCATTTACATTCGGTACCGTGTTATAGGTTTCAAAGGCTGTCAAACCGAGTTCGTAATCGCCATCGCTCAGATCTGTGGTTGGAAAGTAGCTTCCCGTAAGAGTGCTACTCTTGCTGGCGAATGTAAATGTCAGCGACATCTTCGTCTGAGACCAAAACGATTACTGGACACTGATCGCAGAACGTTGGGCCTTAAATCGGCTGTTAACTGTCTGCAGGAAACGTAGACACAGTTGTCCGCAAATGCTCTGATCGTAACGTTGATAGGACGTACGATTGAACTCAATTGTATTATTATCGAGATATCGCACCAATTCGCTGGGTGGTCGAAGATTACCAAAACTATCGAAATATATCACGCGATCGCCTCTTTTCGCGTCCGCTACCTAAAGAGTACCGGGCCCCTCGACGTCATCCAAATTTACGATTCCACTCTCGTTTACGTGCGGCGATGTAGGCAGTACGTCGCGCATGAAGAACGGAATACGCATACGTTTCGCCAATTGTTCCAATTGTACATTGGTGGTGACGCCCGTAGGCATTTTTAATATTTTTTGACGTTTTTTTTTTCCCATCTCTCATGACACCTTTTCCTCGTTTGTATGGGGTGAGATAAATTCCACGACCTTCCATGCTGCGATTATGACGTTGCATCTTCTGCAGCTGACGCTGCGCAGCCTTGGTATCGTTTACAGCCTTTGCGATCCCCGCCGCTACACCCACTAGCGATCCAAGCGCTCCCAGCAGCGGGAGAATAGGTAGGATTCCACCTCGTTTTGCTATTGGAAGTATTCGATTTCGTAATATTTCCTTCTTCGACGCGCTTCGCTTCTTTTTCATGCCCATTCCGATTTTTGTTTTAGCCTTCATAATTGCCCAAACAGCTGTAGCGGCAGCTCTCTCACCGAGAGTGGAATCTCTCGCGACTATACGTTCTCGCGCCTTGTCAGCGAGTACGTTATCTGCCACGTGACATTTGACGAGATCGTTGCTTCAAGAATATGCGATATCGTGCTCGCGATACGCCGCATCCAGCGGATTGATACCCCGATCACCTCTGGCCAATTGTGTCCGCAAGCGTGTATCCGGCCCGCAAAACTGGTAGCCGGGGATATGCAGTTAGATAGGAAGCGCGTTAATGGCACGATTTAACAGACCGTTGCCGATTTTTACTGTTTTCGACGACGCTGACATTCACCACAGTCTCTAATCAACGGCGCTGGACCGTCGATGTGCGTTTGCTGCCACGGACGATTATAATGTTCCAGGCACCAACGATACTGTCGAATCTCCGGTCGGCTCTTATATATTCCGGGATTCTGTCCCACAAAACGTCAATGTGCTTCGAAAACTCGCGCAATAGAACAATCTTTAGTATATATTTCAACTGTTCGGAGGTTAGGTCTCGAATATCATGAGCACCCAACAGTAGGAGAAACATTTTGGAGACTGAACGGATTCGATTCGACGCCCCCCTATAAATAGTTGCCGCGTGCCAATAAAGCATTTTGAAGCGACATGAGGTTCATACGACAACCGACACCGATACGCGTGAAAAATTTCGATGAAAGAATGCGAGTAGCGTCCGAAAATATCATACGTCACCACTTGCTACCGATTACCATACGCGGTATCGTATGTGGCCGCTCGAATTGTGGTAAGACGAATGTGTTGGTGAGCCTACTGGAGAGCCCACATGGTCTGCGTTTCGAAAATCTGTATGTGTACTCAAAATCACTGTAACAGCCGAAATATCGTTACTTGGAGAATTTGTT